AGACTTTCTCTATTTAAACATTAAAAGTTGAAAACAAACATGTGTGCATTCTTTTTGGAATGAATCATTGAAAATATTTCGGGCACGTGTATGTGAAAAGAATGCGCTCGTTACCTAGCTTATGTCTACAGATGTTAGAAAGAGAGAATGCTGGGCTGCGTTTTATAAAAATTCCTAAATTTGTTCTAAGTCTTAGGACTAACGACAAACTATAGAACTTACTTAAGACCATTTTAATAAATATTTTCAATTTTAGTAAAAGTTCTAGTCTTTGATTTAATTCATTCTCCTGAGAAAAGTTATACAATACAATTATAGGCACGCACTTCAATCTGCAATGTGGAAAAAAGGTTCTGCTTCAGCGCTATTCAGAAATTGAAATTTCTCAACATAAGTCATATAAGTTAGGACATTTTCTTTGGAACGAAATTTGTCACAGATGAAGTCTCAAGACATATTTAAGACTATAGGTCTTCCAATGAAACGCAACCCAGTTTTTCTACATTGTTTACCCTGAATATGCTGAATTTGTGTAATGGAATTACCCTACTTTTGACATAGCAATAGCCAATTTGAAAGTTTAGGAATTTCTATATTTTCATTGTTGGTTCAAGGTTTAAGAATGAAAGAATGTCTGCCAGACAAAGAATGTCTGCCAGACACAATTTTGTCATACATAATTATGTTATAAAGCAAAAAAAAAAAAAAAAAAAAATACAGTTAAACTCTTTTTGCTAGCTTTTATCGAAATACCGGCTTAGACGTACGATATCGGATATAACGTAATGTTTTACAATGTAATACATTGTACTTTCATTACGAATTTATTTTTACTTTACATTCCTTTGTTTTTCTAATAAAAATCAGAACAATTCTAGCTGAAGAAAAACATTCATCCAGATCGACTTTTTTTCGTTTTCCACACTTCGTTTCGTTCGAGTTGTGACGTCATAAATTCTCAGTGACGTTATATTCATACGTCTTTTAATAAGGAAAAATAAAAACATTTATATAGAATTTCTTTACGTTAGTTATTTCAGAATACATGCAATAAAAGGAAAATCATGTGAGTGGATTACACACCACTCGTATTAATTGTATTAACCCTTTCCCCCATGAGCATATTGTGAAAAATGGCCGTTTTCACTGAAAAGCCTCCTGTTACAAGTTCAAACTGCTATGAAACTATGAAAAATGCTTCAATACTAATCAAACTTGGCACAAATGTTGACTGGACCATTGCCTTTGTAACGACATGCTCAGTCTTAAATTTCCTGTTACCATGGCAACGAGGGGGCATATCAAAATTGCCAAAAATCACTATTTTGCCTCGATTTTTTCCATCAAAATTTATTTCAAAGTGCTGCAACTTCTCAAGGGATTGAGATAGAGTCAAAGGCTTTTCAGCTTTGGTTAAACGTTACATTATGATCGACCTGGGGTCATTTTTAGCCTCTCACAAGTCCAAAATTTTCTTGGCGATGAGGGGGACTCCGCCCCCCTTCAAACCCCCCTAACATCCCCCTTCTGGCAACCCCCTGATGTATCTTTTGGATGGGGGGGGGGGGGGCGGCGCCGAAAAAGTGCTCAATTTTTTTTAGCAACATTTCTCAAACGAAAACTTATGTTTGGGGCCCAAATAGGACATTTTTTCCTATTTGAGGCCCAAAAAAGGGGGGGGGGGTCGAAAGTGCGTTGTTTCGCGTATATATGTGGTAAAGGGTTAAGGTGTTATCACACACTAACTGTCGTCTGCCCAACAGAATAACACGCTCCTGTGAAGGATAATGAATGGGTGTACGTTCAATACTGAATTTATTAATAATATTGGTCACTAGTAAATCCTGGTCAAAATAGACTGGGAGAGACCGGGAATTACCGATAGGAGTGATAAATAGATATATCTATAAATAGATTTTCGGAATATTTAGGTCAACAATAACATACCATGATAACCCACTGTGTACTACAAAATGATGAATAAAAAAACCCGTAGAGCGCGATTTATTGACGGAAAAGGTTATTTCATTTGAAAATGTTTGCATTGCGAAATTCTCCAGTTCGCTATTCATTGTAACATATCGCGACATTTCATTCTTAATTAATAATCAATCACCCTCACACCGAAAGGAATGATCGGCTTTTATTATGACCGACTAAACGGCTCGAGAAGTTGCTGTCGCCCTTTCACAAAATCCGATTTCATTCCATAAGGGCGCCGCGCTTCGGCGCGGACGCCAATAAAGGTCGTCCCTGGCACGCCTTATCACCTTTCCACGACTCGTTTAATATAGGCCTATAATGTAATGATATTTTCATTCAAGGAAGGTGCCCAACTAGCTTGAAAATAAAAGTTGAAATGATAGATTGCAGCATGGTTGTAAACTAATCTATTCCAGGTCAAATATTCTGTGCAAATGTAGGACATTAAATCGGAACATTGCATTGAAAAAACATCTAAATCACGCATATATTTAAAAATTTCTTTCGTGCAGTTTTGAAAAGAATGCTTGATTGAAACCCAATCCTATGCATATTTACATAGGACGTGAAGTTACGGAAATCTTATGCTTTTTCACGAGGTAGAGTGGAGCGATCGTCTATTGATATTATGTAAACATTTTTTTTTTTAATTTATCTCTTTTTTTAAAAAAGAGAGTTTGCTGTACCACATATCCCCCTTTTTGCCTTTTTTGTTTTGTTTATAGTCACACTGATACTGTTTTGTTAAGGTCTTATTGCGACATTCTAGCTTTATTGGTGAAGGATTACTCGAAACAACTTGCAACTCGATCTGATTAAAAACAAGTTTTTGAATAATGATACTCCTTCTTCGAAATAACAAAATGAGATAAGATTGCCGCCCGGACCTGAAATAATTCACAGTAAGGCACTAAGGTTTTCCGACTACTGCCCTGCCCTCACACATAAACCACGACCTTACTGCGACCTGAAAACTAATAAAATAGCATTTTTCTTTCAAAAATCGTTGGTTTTCTTTCAAATTTCTCTCGCAGACGGTCCGGGGCTCTGCAGTCTTGTGTTCAGTACGTTTTCTCTATTTCCTCAATACGACCCTTCTACGTCCATGGCGTTTCCACTGCGACTGTATTGCGTCCCCAAGGCGACCCCACGGCGATCATCGGCGACCCAGCTGCGACTGTGCTATGTTCTCTGCGTCCTTACGGCGACTCTACGACGACTATTGCGTTTGTCCGGCGACTGTCCTGCGACTGTACGACGACCCTACTACGTTCTTGCTACGTCTATAAAAACAATACTTTTTACCAGTAAATTTCATTCTGAGTCTGACATTCAACGAGTGAAGACGTATATTTAATTAGTATTAAGTTAAATCATCCATATTATTCCAAAGATGAGAGGCGGGCGAGGCAAAAGAGCGAGGGTCTCTTAAGTGCTACAAGTTGACCCAGTCGCCGCTTCAGATATGCAGTTTGGTAGTGGTTCACAGTGTGTAGAAATCGCGGCTTCATCCACTGGCGGAGACGCATACAAACAGTCTTCTAGTGGTCCACATACGGTGTCCTTAGTACGAGTGTACTACGTCTATTGCGTTCTTATTGCGTCCTTACTACGATGCTGCTGCGACTATGGCGACTCCACTGCGATCCCACAGCGACCTAACCAGGACTCAGCAAGAACGCAGAGTTTCTGCGACTGTTTTGTGCATGTTCAAAATAGTCGCCGACGGTCTGCGACCTTGTGCGTCCTTGGGTTCCTCGCTACGACCTCGCTGCGTCCCTGCTGCGTCCATGGCGACTGTGCTGCGTCCTGGGTCGTAGCAAGGTCGCAGTAAGGACGCAGTAAGGTCGCGAGGTATGTGTGAGGGCATGCAGTATTAGTAAAAAAGCTGAAAAACTTAAATATAATAACTCGAAGTCCCTTGCAGGATTCGAACCCCTAGTCAGCAGTCTAAACCACACAACCACAGGGACCACCTTCCTTTATTTATTATAATTAAGTGGTAGCTTAACGAGACCATGAGTAAAAGCGTAAAAAATAATTTTAGTTTACACTATATATTTAGATTTAAAAATGTATCTCTATCTTGGTTAACATCAGCTTTATCGTTTGCTTTACAAAGATAACATATAAAGCAAAAGTAAAGAATACATGTCGCTGAAAAGAAAATTAACTTTATTGAAGCTTACTAAGGCGTTAAATTTATTTATACAGATCTTCGTGTTTAAAAATCATATTTTTATCAATAGTTAGGAACAACCTTCCATGCACATATTTTTCAAATAAAATTCAGTTAAAGTTCACCTTGCATCGTTTATTGCTGTCAAATGATGAGTTTTTAGCGCTTTTTACGTACTGACTTATATATAAAAGAAAAAACCCAACTAGTTTATTATTAATTTCGAAATCGGGATTATTTTAATTAGCATATAGTTTCCAACCTAATCGGACTAAAACTAAGTTGTATAAATTTACTTATAACAAAAATCAAAGTTGACGAAATTTGTTATGTAAGTTTCATGCAATGACTTCAATCTGATACAGTATTCAAAATCTCCATGATAAGGTCAAGGTCAATGAAACTTCAAATCAGTTTTTCGTTTTGTCTTTCTATCTTTAATAATTAATAATTTATTTATCATGACTAATACATTTAACATTTAGTATACATTCGCCTTGTTTAAATATCTAGGTCAAGGTCACCAATTCATAGGACAGATTTTTCTACTATCCCGTGTAATGTATCCATTTCTGACCGATGTTTTAGTTTTTTTTATTCTATTCACATATACAATTAAATAAAGTTAACCCCTGTAGTGGGTCTGGGGCTACTGAGGTCAAGGTCAATTGATGTAACTTTTCTTCCTTTGCGTCACTTTTGTCTTCATTCAAGCGAGTAATGCAACAGGGTCATTTTGACCCTCACATTACATAGTTAGTTAATTGTTAATCGAGTTCAAAATTGTTTTAATGTTTAAAGACAAAGAAAAATATCATGTAATATCTTTCTGTTTTAGGATTTATCGTCTGCAACAGTGACTTTGACAAGATTGTAGACGACTTCTGGGAATGGCGACTAAAGAACAATCCTGCATTTGCCTCCAATGTTGGGGACCAAAGATATACGGACCAACTTGAAGATTACAGTCTTGAAGCCTTTGAAGGCAGAAAAGTAAGATTCACAAAAATGTTAATGATATTCGAGCTGTTTAGATGAATTTTGAATACTTTTGCATGATTTAAGGAAAACAATGGTATTGCTTAAAGGGAAATAATATTATGACTTAAAAGGAGGCTACTGCATGGCTTAAAGGGAAGCAATTACTTAGCTTAATTAAAAGAAAACCACTGTCATGGTCAAAGGGAATCAAAGGCAAACAACTATAGGAAAGCAACTGCGTGACCTTATAGAAGACAACTGATTGGTTTAAAGGGAAGATATTGCATATCTAAATAAAAACAATTGCATGAATTCAGGGGAAACAATTGTACTGTAAATTCCATTTACAGAGAAACAATTTCTGTCTAAGGAGTAAACAATTTCCTGGTTTAAAGGGGAGTATTTGCATGGTTTAAATTAATGCTAATTTTAGGCTATACATACACTTTATTTTTTTTTAACTGTTCACAGCACAAATTTTGAAAAATGAAAGAAACACAGGCATGAAAGTCACAATATCAACCGATTGGTCGTAATACGATAAAACATGGCTGAAATTGCTTCATAGTAACTTTGACGCGAACGTCCTTCCATCTAAAAATAAGCGCCAAAAAGATGTTTACGTTTATTGAATTTATGCTCATCTTACACGCTTTAATTCGAGTTCTCTCTTGATTTTAATAAGCATTTTATATAGCCGTTTTAGCGTCAGCAAAAATTGTTGTTCAATGAAGACTTGACGTGAACGGCCTTTCATATACGCTTATTGAATGCAGACTCATTATGCGCTTGGATTGATTTTGATAAGCATTTTATACGTGTACGTTTAAAGCCGCATGCCTGCAGATTAAGTCTAAATTTCTTGAACATCTTGAGGATGTATTAAAAAAATATGAAATGTATAATATTGTCAAGTATTTAAAGAAACTAATTATCAATACACTGCAAATGGCACTTACAACCCACGAAAAATACCAAAAAGATATCAAAATATGCAAAATTACCAATTACTGCGTTTTTCACACAGTATAAATATGGTGATGGATGATGCAAAGTCAGTCAATAATTAATCGCACAAAACACGTTACTTATAACTTGAATCTTTAATCTTTTTACTTTCTTAAAATCTAAGTACATTGTTTTCTCAAGTTTGATTTTCTTAAAATAAATTGGCATTTTGGCAGCTTTAATCTTCTCCAAGATTTGGATCGGCAAATATTTTGCATCGTCTTTAAAGCAACACGCCTCCAGTTTTAGGTTAATTTTCATGAAAATTTTGGAAATGTTTTTAAAAGTAAAATATTGTGAGATGAACAAATAAAGCAATTTACATATTGCAATTGACACTTACAATCCAAGAAACTGACCAAAAAGTGGTCAACTTGTGCAAAAACAGCCCTACTGCGTTATTAACGCGTTATTAACGCAGTAGAAATATTGTGATAAATATTGCAAAAGCAGTCTTAAACGGCATAAAACATGTGAAATATCACTTGAATATTGAACAGTGTTGAATGTTTTTACCACTTTTTTTAAAATTTAAGTACTTTTTTTCTCAATAATAGTTTGGCTCATCTGGAGGCGTGCAGCTTTAAAGGTTACAAACGTTTGTTGCATTAATTATCGAATTAAAATTGTACTTTATGCACGCATATAATCTGCTCGTTTCGTCTTGTATTTCACGATAATATTGTTTGATGATATATGTTTTCTTTTCTGTTTTCTTTTAACAAAAAATGTCGTTTCAATATCTGGCACATCAAGATAATGCGTACATCAAGGCAATGCTCAAGTTGAACGCGTACATAGACTGGAGTAATTGGTACCCATCACTTATTATAATCGACTTGGTAACATGAAGCTCTGTCACGTGACTTATGTTTAAAAAGAAAATGAGAACCTTCCTGATTTTTTTTTTTGCATATAAAGTAATTGCGATATTTTTTGATTTTGTAAATATGTGACTAAGCAGTTCTCGGAGACTTACAGTGAATATAGGTGACAATATCCGGTTTGAAATACTCCGTCGAACAAAAATGCATACATATAGTGGGTATCTAATTTATCAGATCTTTATCTTTTCAAATATGCAGTCACATGAAAAACGAAAAACCTTAACGTCTTCATAAATAAAACAACCTTGTAAAATTATGTCCAAAAACTTTAAATGTTCATTATCAGAAGTGGGGAAATAGAAATTTAAGAAAGAAAAAAAAGAAAAAAAAAGGAAAAAAAAAAGAGATTTATCAAATATGATTATATACTTTATCGGTGCATCTCAAAAACAGTGTTTATTCTGTGCTTAATAAGGGTCCATCCGCCCTTTCAGGCACTGAGAGTACGAGCCCCGAACATTTCACCATTCATATCTACATGTGTATGCCAAATAGTGACCTATAAATCTTGAATCAGTTGTTCGCCGAATGATACTAGATATGTATGCAAGTCAAATATTTGTGATGATACCATTATATGCATCATGGAGTAAAATAAGGTGTTGCTGCCAAAATAAATTATCTAAACTTTTCTCACTATTCAAATGTGCTTGAAAGTTTATATACAGAAGATTCGTGATTTACGTGCACAATTCTTTAAATGTTTAAATAATATCTATTTGAGCCGCGTCACGACAAAACCAACCTAGTGGGTTCGCGACCAGCATGGATCCAGACCAGCCTGCGCATCTGCGCAATCTGATCAGGATCCATGCTGTTCGCTATCAGTTTCTCTACTTGTAATAGAGTTGGTAAGCGAACAGCATGGATCCTGATCAGATCGCTCTTTTTGCATTGTTCGTTTTTGCATTGATAGTTTCTTTTTTTCCATTGAATAACGCAAAAGAAAATTAGAATAATGACAACTACTAGTATAACAGATATAATTAGTGAAATATGATACATTCATGATATAATTAAAAATATGTTTTATGATTCTACATTGTTAATCAGTACAGTGTATTAAAATAATCCTAGAAGCCATTACTTTAGGGGAAAATTTGAAAAACAAGAACAGTAAGTACGGATTGAATAGCGAACAGCGTCCAATGACATTGATCAGACGGCACGGAGGTGTCGGCTGCTCCATGTATGGACTAGTCACATGGGTAATTTCAGTTGTCACAAACTGCCTAAAAAGGAAAACGCTAAAAGATTGGTATATTTTCTTAATACTGGTAGACGTTTTAATATTTCTTTATAACTTGAAAGGATCTACATTTATAAAAAAAGTTTCGCTGTTCATGTATGCTCCTGAACGCCTCTAGATACGATATAGATCACTATTTCCGGACTTGTAAAGATTATGAATAAAAAAGTTTATGTAGAGGAAAATGTACTTGACATAAAAAAGAATTTCTATGACAGATGTACCTATACTGTAGTGTAGGGGTAAACAAATATATCTCGACATGTGACTTCAGTGCACGTAAATGATATGAGCCGTGTCACGACAAAACCAACACATTGGGTTTGCGAAATTGCGACCAGCATGACTCCAGACCAGCCTGCGCATCCGTGCAGTCTGATCAGGATCCCTGCTGTTCGCTAACAAACCCAATAACAAGTAGTGAAAGTGACAGCGAACAGCATGGATCCTGATCAGACTGCGCTGATGCGCAGGCTGGTCTGGATCCATGCTGGTCGCAAACGCACTATGTTGGTTTTGTCGTGACACGGCTCATATGCTTAATCGTTGAAACTAGACTTTAATCTTAAGATAAAAAAATGAATTAAAGGATGTGTTACCTTTCAGTGATGCGCAGGCTGGTCTGGATCCATGCTGGTCGCTAACAAACCCAATAACAAGTAGTGAAAGTGACAGCGAACAGCATGGATCCTGATCAGACTGCGCGGATGCGCAGGTTGGTCTGGATCCATGCTGGTCGCAAACCCACTATGTTGGTTTTGTCGTGACACGGCTCATATGTTTAATCGTTTTAGATAAAAAAATGAATTAAAGGATGTGTTACCTTTCAGTGATGCGCCGGCTGGTCTGGATGCATGCTGGTCGCTAACAAACCCAATAACAAGCAGTGAAACTGACAGCGAACAGCATGGATCCTGATCAGACTGCGCTGATGCTGGTCTCAAATGCACTATGTTGGTTTTGTCGTGACACGGCTCATATGTTTAATCGTTTAAATTTAAAAGGATGTATCAGGTTTCAGTGAATTTTAATTCACCGGTTGTCGTTGCTGGCTTACAGTGTAGTATAAAGTAGACATTGTATGAGTGAAGGTCTGATACTATTTGTATTGAAAGACTTCTTAAATAAACTAATGATCTGTATTATGTAAGTCTATGCGAGATATAATATTATTTTATTCACAAAAAAAATGAGCATAATATAATTTTATTCACAAAAATAATAAATTTATGATACGAACGAATAAAAATCGGCGTAAATGTTATTAATAGATGATATATTTGGTAGATTTCATATTTTAGAGGTCCTCTATTAAAATCGTTCAAATAACATCTCTTAGACTTGTCAAAAAATTGACCGCGTACTTATTCCTGGAATTCCTTATATGGCATAATGCATATAGTAAAATCTTAAAAATCTATTTCTCTGAAACCGTAAGGGCTAAAGATTGGATATGTAGCATTAAACATCATATTGTAGAACAAGATTGTTCAAATTATGGTTCTTGGGGTAAAATTGACCAAGTCTCTGGGTCACCATTGGTTTCCATGACTCAATCAAACCGAGTCTGCAATTCTTATGTTTTGTTGTAATTAATGCTTCGGAGGGATCACTTTGTTTCCAGATTTTTTCCCTTTGGTATGTATACAATTTCAAATTGTAGCCTCCATTTTAATACTTGTGGTTTGTTTGCTTTACAGAATGATATGGACTTATTTTTGGAGCGTTTGTCCGCCATAAAACCTGAAACTTTGTCGGTCCCTGAACGAATCAGTTACGCTGTGCTGAAGGACACGATTCAAACTTGGGTAGATGGATACAAATGGAAAAAGTAAACAATCGTATTTGACATTTTTTTTTTGCCATTACAAAATAGAAATTTAAACAAGCGTTGTCATTTATAACGAATGTCATAACTGCTCGACAGATGATATTATTTTTTCTTTGTAATTATTGAGAAATTTGTTTTAACATTATAAATTTCCAGATTATGTCTTGCCTCAAACGTATTACACCAAATAAAACAATTTGGATAAGCATAAAATATCTTTTTATTATTAAAAAAAAACAAAAACAAAAAAACAACAACAACATAAAATATTCTTTATTCATGTAAAAAAACTACGACTAGAACATACACTTAAGCTCGCAAATAGGGTTTTGATATTATTGATGTGTTTTAAAATTTGCATGTGATCTTTGAATTTCAGTTACGGACCAATGAATCCTATTAGTTTCTTAGAGGGAATACAAACGTCTTACGGCAATGCTGCAGGCCAGGTGAAATTCGAAAATGCGACTAGTTTCATAAAATTTGCGACAAGGATTCGCGGATTCGGAATTCAGGTTTGTTACGAACAATTTACCCAAAAGTTTGAATTATTGAAAAATAGATTAATCTTATCTAATTATAGGCACTCTTATAGCTCGATATATATTCAATCTAAAACATTAAAAAATCGTATGAGGTCGGCAATTTCCGTTACTTTCCGTATCTTAAATTTAGCTTGAAAGCGGTTTAGGTGATATGATGTGATTCAATCATCAAGACGCTTATCTTCTTATACATGTTAGTGAGGGATGATTGCTTTAAATGTTCTGTCGCTCTTTTATTATTGTTATGTAAACTCTAATTCTTTGTTGATTTAGATTAAAATCTGAAAAATAGCTCATAGATTTATACCATTTTAACAATGATAAAAACAATCAATCTGAATGATTTCTTGTTTTTGTAGTATCTCATTGACTTAAAACACCATGTTATCTGAGTCTTGGTTTATACAGAATTCATTTCAGTTCGATTGTATAGGAAGCTATATATATATGGGCTTATAGACACTCTCTCGAATCCGTCGCTGGAACCACCCAGTACTAAGCAATGAATGTAAAGATTCTTTTTCAAGGAAACAACGGCTCTCCACTGACGGGGTTTGAACCAACGCGGACGGCGACCCTTAGATTGCTATTCCGACCCGTTAATCACTCGGCCATGTATCCATTTAGTCTACGACACTGAATCTATTGTCGATTCAGGTCTCCTTGTAGGCACTAACTTATTAAAATACTCTTGAATCGCATGTTATGTCAGACTGATTAAAGATAGCAGACGACCAAATATCTAGCATTTTTGTTCCACTTTAACTCTCATTTGGAACTGGAACATACGAAATTTAATGATTAAGTTATTTCTGAACGTATTTTAATTACAAAACGTAAATTTTCATATCATAATTAAATATGGTAAATTACTTTTCTGTATCTGTTTCATATTTATTAATATTAATATTTTTAAAATTGATCCAATGAAAAAAGTATTTAAGAAACCAACAACCTTTTTTTCCTACTATTTTGATTGCCCACCTCCAAAAATCACCGGAAAATTTATGCACGGAATATATCCGATCAACCCGGCATTACCGTGATTACGGCGTTTAAACACGGCGCTTATCGATCGATCGATTCCAATTGGACACCAACATTGGCACTGATAAGAAAGCGCGAGTGACATATCCCGTTATAGTACATCCCAGTTTGGAAGATCCTTGAATTGTTTGGTTTTATTAACCTGTCAAATACATACTGATTACACGGTCGATGCACACAATATATTAATCTTCGGTAGATTTTCGGTAAGTTCCGTGAGATGTACGCTTTACGATGGTATTTAATTTAATTTGTATGAATGAACTAAGTGTACTCAGCGTTATAGCGCAATAGGGTAAAGCATGAGTTTATAATCTAAGTGCCATACGTGTTTTAAGTTCGAGACCGCGTTGGTCCATGTTTTTTTCTTATTAATACTTTCAACATTATTGAAGCTATATGCGATTATTATTTTATTCCTTTTATTATGTTTTACTTAAAAAAGTCTATACTATTTTTAAAATTTAAATTTTTAACATGTTCAAATAATTCCTGTTTAAAATTAAAACGGATTAATATCAATAATTGTCATTTCAATGCCGTAAAACACACTACAAATCGGTTCCATTAATTATACTGCAAAAATAAAGAAAGAGTAGGCCTAAAACAATGTCATCAGTAAGGATCGAACCACAGACCTCTCAATTATCAGGCATTCTCTTTACCGACTGTGCTATTGTGAATTAACGAAAGCCTCCACATTAAGGTTGCATGACTTTCAAAACATGACCAATATACTCCACATTAATTCTCGTAAACTACACGGAACAAACCGAAGTGGGATCGAATATTTAAATGAGTGCTATAATGTATTCATAATTGACAGGTCAATAAAATCAGACTATACACTGATACAACGGTATCACAACTTTCCAAACAAATAAAATATTTCTGAAACGAAACATTAAAAACTTTGTTTCCAAATTACATGTTTGCTCAATACACATTGTAGATTGGCTCATTTTATTTATAGATTGAGCAGATAATAAAGAGGATGGAGGTGGCAATACGAGAGAAAACAACCTTAAGTTTAGAGTCTGTTGTAAGTTATTTTTATTTACATTTATGTTTTTTTTCTAATGACGAACATGGCGGCATTAACTCTGAAGACGACGAAAATGCAGACGACAGAAGAAACCTGTTACTGGTACTAACGATGTGATTGACGAAGACAATGGCAATGACGTTGACGGCGATACTGACACAAGTGACGACATGATAAATATCACATTGATATTGACGACAACACGTATACCACGACATTGACGGCGACACGCCTGTACTGACATTGATAACAACATAGATACATGTATATTGACCACTATGAAGCATTGACGACGGTATTTCTTCAGAACACATCGATGCTAACAAGTACATAGACTGTGATGACGACAGAGATGTTGACGACGACGGAGACGCTGGAAGCAATATTGTCTTTGATGACGAAGTAGACAATTACACTGACGATAAGAACAAGTAGAGATTTTGATGCTAAAGCATCAAGTCGCCGGATAGAAATATGATTGTATTATCATAAATAAAAGAAAATATCAGTTTAATGGTTCGAGTATAAAGAAAATAGGAACAATAAGTTGAGTAATGTTTATTCATAAACACGTTTTCATGTACTTGCCACAATTATATCTTTCTTGCTATAAACTTTGTAAAAGAGTTTTATGCAATAAATTTATGTTATGTTATAATAAAACATCATATTTGAAGCAAACTTGCTTAGCAATTTTGTCAAGAAACTGTTATCATTATTAGATAAGCAAGTATTGTTTGGCAATATTTACCCGAGACTTTCGGGAGCTGTTTCGTTAGCTTACATAACTTTTTATGATTAATGTTAACGATTTTATTGTAAGTATAATTACATGTATGATTATATCAATTAATACTGCTCGATGGTCTTATATGACGAAGTTGTTACATACGATATAGTTAACGTTTAATTGCCTTTCAGTGCGATAGACTATCAACACAAAGATAGTTTATTAGTTTTCTCTGTGTATCCAATACGATTCCGACCCCTACTGTCATACCGAGATTTTTCACACAAAATTACTTTGATTTGCACTTTAACCAGCTGCCAACCATTCACAAGTTACCTGTATGTCAGTCTTATCAGCCATTTGTTACTATTAATAGATTTTATAACAGTAACATATAACGGGTAGTCACGTGATTCTGGGAGAAGCAGTTTATAATAAATAAGATAAAAAAATAGAATAGGTCTCATAACATACAAACAACCAGATAATTTAAAAGTGTCATTTCAAATATCATACGTGATTTATTTATCATAAAATAGCAACGATTGACACTTTGAAAAAAGGAAAAACATCCCTAAATTCAATGACTGATCCATAGGGATACGTCATTAATTCATTTTATAAAAATTGTAATGTTGCTTTTTACGATGTCAATATTGGAATATTTCATTACATTGAACAACATTATTGTATGTTTGAATTTTTGAGATTACTGAAAACAATTGTAGTCTTTAATTGTTCAGTAATTGTTATGCTTTGTAACACCGCACTTTGGGGTCAAACGCACTTTGGGGTCGAACCCCAAAGTGCGTTATGCACTTTGGGGTCGGACCCCATAGTGCGTTACGCACTTTGGGGTCCAATTTCGACCCCAAAGTGCGTTAAACAGGTACATATGCATTTTTCAACATAAGGCAAACGACCGCACTTTGGGGTCAGAGAAAATTTATGTTCATTATGTTTTAAATAATATAGTGTAGTCAAAGCCAATGGTAAACAAAAATCAAGGTATTAAATAGACACAAAACATGTGCCCTGAATCAATAGGGATTTAAATGGTCTTGATTAGTAAGTGAAGAACTTTCACAAAATAAATCACCAAAAAAAGAATATGTATCAATGCAGATTCAGATTCACGCTTATTTTCATGAAAATTTTGAAAATTTATTTGAATGTATAATATTGTGGAACAACCAAAAGGAAGCAATTTGCACATTATCAATGGCACTTATAACTTACGTTAATTACCAAAAAGTTGTCAAAATATGCATAAATAGCCCTTAATGCGTTAGTAACGCAGTAGGAATATAGTTATAAATATTGAAAACTCAGTCATTGACCGCACATAACATGCAAAATATTACTTGAATCTTGAATCATTTTCTATAATCGTAGTACATATTTCTCAAGTTTGATTTTATTGAAATATTTTGACTCATCTGGAGTCATGCAGCTTTAAGCTTAAAATATGTTTTTCTAAAATTTTCTATTTATTTTAAAAGAATGTACACCTTTCATTAACTCCATTATTTTTAGCTAAATGCATCATTTTCCCGTTTGTTATTTACACATTTTACAGAAATATGATAGTCTTTGCATAGACAAAGGTATAAATTCTGGGTAATCTTAGTAAGACATTTCAGTAAAAAATTTGCCTGATAATATATTAAAATAGCCATTCATTTAGCTAAATGTGACACATTAGAAACTTGACTAGGTGAAGATGTAGTCCGTACAGGCAGTCAAAACATATCAACTATTTAAGTAGTCGCACATTAAGAGCGAGCTTCAGAATAATGTAAAATTCTCACTGGCGGTATAGAGGGGATTGTGGGGTATCGATCTCCCCGAGGTTTAAAAATAACATTTTAAAGGCCCATTATGCTTTTATTTGTTTTTCTTCAGCTTTTTTATTTTGATATTCTTTTATATTATCAAAAAAATACACATTGGCCAATTACCTGAACCATCTTTTTCAACTGTTGCTTTTTGACAATGATGAGTACAGTACTGTTATAGTGATAAGTAGTTTACATGTTTTATATGGAAGTCAAATACTACATTGTTTTGACTACTTTTATGACAAATAATTTCACATTTATCGCTACTTTATTCAGGTAACAAGCATCTTACATTTCTCTGATACCATTATTTTAACATTATAAAATTCATCTTTCTGAAGAAGTATGTAAGATTTCCCATTAAAAAAGCATCTGGCGAACGGTTGTTACGGAGGGGAAAAATATTAACTGCATTTTATTTCATTCCTTACATATTTAAAATGGAGCTCAACATGGCACCAAAAGTTATCAAGTAAATGACTGACAGAACGGGATATTTTTCGCAGCATCTTTAAACTTTAGGAATACACGATTTCTGTACTAAAATATTTTGAACGGTGGCAAAAAAGTGACATTTGCAACTTTTTTTTTTTTGTTTTTGATACTTTTTTTGTTTTTTTTTCGTACATATTTTTTGTTGTTTTTTTGTTTGTCATACATTTTTTTTAGTTTTGAATACATACTTTTTTTTAGTTTTGCATACATATTCTTTTTAAGTTTTGCATACATATTCTTTTTAAGTTTTGCATACATATTTTATTTTAGTTTTGCATACATATTTTATTTGAGTTTTTGGTACATATTTTATTTTTGTTTTGTTTTTTACTTTTTTTCGTACATAATTTTACATGACGCCATTTGCAAAGTAGAGGTTTGGATAATTACGCCATTTGTAAAACACCATTTTCAAACACTTCGCCATCTGTAAATTACAGTACCCCATTTGCAAACGCCATTTGCAAATACCAACATTTTCATTTTTGGAGGTATCAAAAAGATAATAACACTTTTTAGTATATATATATATACAGAGACATAGATATTATCTATGTCTCTGATATATACATGTACATGTATATACATGTATATATATATTTTTTTCTAAATCAGTGGAATATAAGGACCTATTTAGATCTTTTATTGTGCATTATTGTAATACACCAGTCATTTGTAACCACCTCCCTTGCCCCCGGGGGAGTGCGGGTTAAAAAAGAATCGTGTGATGTCTGCGCTGTTCCGGGGCATAAGGCAGGAATGTTATTATCTGAATATCCCCCGCAGGGCGAAGATTTTACCAGTGGTCGGCTTGGTTTAAAGTCAATGCCCCTCCCCCCGCTATACTCAGGGGGTGGGGTTGAGTGGTGCATATTCATTCACCAATCAACAGCCCTTTCCAAATAGACACTAATATAAATAGTAGATAATAATTTAAAAAAATACACTAATTATATAAAATACATATGATTTAAAAATGGGCCGAAAAAGGTCGGCCGAAACCAGACTTGCGCGGCCAAAAAACGACTGGGCCGATTCCAAAAAATGGGCCGAAATGTGACCAAACTACTGTGCTAGTTTTATACTCAACTATGGGCTGTTATGAGATGTGAAGGCTGTTTTGATTGGCTAAAATATGTACGAAAAACCAAAATAAAAAATGTACGAAAAACTTTAATAAAATATGAATGCAAAGCTCAAAAAACAAAAAACAAAAAAACCCCAAAAAACATGAATGCAAAACTGAAAAAAATATGTATGCAAAACTTAAATAAAAATATGTATGCAAAACTTAAATAAAAATAAATGCAAATGTCACTTTTATGCCACCGTAAGTTTGTTAAATGAACACAATTATTGGATATTTTAAGTGGTAAAATTAATGAAACTTTTATCACTTAAGCATCATCAAAGTATTGACCGCCATCTTGAACTCCACCTCAAATATTTCAATGTCGAAGATCGAAAATAAGTCAGTTCTCAGTATTTAAGCAGAACTCAGATTACACCTTTAGACCTCTGGAACCCAAAGTGCGTTGATATGTAGCATATTAACGCACTTTGGGGTCAATTTCTCGATTTTGACCCCAAAGTGCGTTTGACCCCAAAGTGCGGTGCGAAGTTTAACGCACTTTGGGGTCGGACCCCAAAGTGCGTTTGACCCCAAAGTGCGGTGTTACAATGCTTCTATTTTCAGATTTTAATGCCTTCTCCTACCATAGGTATAATATTAAACTGTTACAAATATAGTCGCCGGTTTCTACCGGCGACTAATAATTCTCATGAAGACCTTGACCTTGGCAACGACAATGACCCTGGTCCTAATTCTAACGACAGTATTGACGAAATTTACTGTTACCAAGACGATGCTATCACAGACATCACTGGCGGTGACGGTATTGACGACCGTAATTTTGCGGCGCCGTTATATGTTGCAACACCGCTAACTGTCGCACTTGCCATCAAATGTTGCTATCACCGCTAGATGTCGCAATATTTTTTGCCGTTAATTGTCGCACGATTTTCCTTTGCCGTTAAATATCGCAATGTTAACGTTAAATGTCGCACGATGTTTCCTTGCCGTTAAATATATATCACGGAACAACGGTGATTATACCCAATTTCCTGTTTGTGCTTTGAGGGGCATCAAAGGTCTTCCTCCAAAATTGGTATAAACCTACTATGTTGATGTGAAGTTTAAATTTCTGAAAACTAATTATGAATATGTATTTCCTAATTAGAAGTTTTAAAATCTTATTTGGAGAAATAAAATTTTTATTTGTCTTTTGTATAAAGAAATGGTAGTAATAAATTTTCTATTTATCTCCTATTTAAGATAACCAAAGTCCTACTTATGTTTTTGAAATTCCTATTCAGAAGCTAAAAAGTTCAAATAAGGCTTTTAAAATTCCTTATTTTTTGTTACAGGTTTTTAAGAGCAATAACTTTTTGCATCAGATAATGCTTAACCAAAACATTTTTGAAACTGTTGTCATATAATTTTTAAAGAGTTTCGACCATGCGACCACATACATGCATCGAGGACAAGTTGGATGGAAAAGTGACCGTGCGACCACATACACGCATCACAGGATTCCCTTTCTCTCGTGAGAAAGGGACAAAGAGTTGTCTGCCCTGTTATAAAAGGGTAGACTTTAAAAAAATGCTACCTCCTTATTGATAAGGAGGCTATTTTTCACAGATATGTCTTGAATTGATTTATATACAACAATAATAATGCAAACCAAGCTGGTAATCAGTTTTCGTCCTTTTTAGTCCGCTATGAAATTTTCAAAAGATCATATTTAATTTCTTGGAAAATTTTGAATTTACAGTTTTTTCTACTTTTCGTTCTTTGGATATTACAGAATTATTATATTTTTGCAAAACAGGAACATTTTTAAACGTTCTATATGCATTAGATATGGGAGATAATATTTCACACTTTGTACAAATACGTACATTGTATTAAATTCTATACTCGACTTATCCTACTTGTAATAGAAAATAATGTGATGGACTGCAATGAAAAAAATAAATATATTAAGCATGAGGTGCTTACAATTCTTACACTGGTAAGACCGCTTATATTTTGAACTTCTGAATTTGTAAAATGCACTTTTCACTCCTCTTTTTTAGGTCTGTCTATCAAGATAGAAATTTCTCAGGTTATTCAGCAATAAGTACAGAGCCTTTCTTATCTGATAGTAAGCTACTCCCCAGATCACCTACACAACGATAATTATGACATAATACCAACTATTTAACATGAATTTATAGAATATTGCGACATTTAACATTCTAACACTATCGGAATTTTTTCTATATAGACAAAGAAGGCCGGAAGCGTGCATTATTCTACAACAATGCACTCGCCGTTCTTATTATCTCCCTGTGTATTTTCACATTGAAGGCGCCATTTTGTTTAAAAAATCTGATAAATTAAAACAATTTTTTTCGAATTTTGTTGTGAAAACTATCTAGAATGAAAGAAAATGGTCTAACTAAGAAAATTAATCCGAACACCAATATCTTTAATTCAGTCGTTAACGCTGTACAGACGTTTAAAGTGTTGTTTACGTGACGTCACAATGTAGCGCCAAACAGCACGTGCAAAACAATCAAATCAAGTTTGCTATTTAATGTCGCAAACGAGTTTAGTTTTACATTTATTTCACTTTTAATAATTTGTATTTCGCTTGGAAAATTATAAACTGAAATAAATAAACAAACAAAGTTGTATCAACGTTTTCAAAATTCGTTATTTTCAAAATGTTTCTACAAACGGTAGATTTAACAGTTTTTTTTCAACCCACTGGAACGGCCTCTAAAGAACGTTTCTATTGGAAACTCTGAGGCGAAAACAAATTCAACCACCAAACATAAAGTCCAACGTTATAATAAAAATTATATTTTTTCTTGACGTATTAGAATGGAAATAGATATCAATTCTTCGTGCATTATTGTATAATAATGCACGTTTTTCGTTCAAATGCTTTGTAATTAATCACTCAGGCCTATCGGCCTTCGTGATTATATTACTACGCATTTGAACTCAAACCGTGCATTATTCTACAACAATGCACTCAGAATTGATATCTATTTCCTAAGTAGTGTTGTGACATTTAAGGGTAAACACAATTTAACGTCATCATTGCGACATTTAACGGCAAAATATGTTGACACATTTAGCGGAATTAGTGCGACATTTAGTGGCAAGTGCGACATTACGCGTCGTTGAGCCATATAACGGCGACGCAATGTTGCCAACGACATTGACGAAATTGACTGTAACGGCAACGATTATATCAAAACGTTAAACACTGACGACGAAAATATTGACGATCGTGATGTTGACAACGACGTTGACTCTGACCGTGATGCTAACTGTGGTACTGACGAAATTGACGGTGATGACGACGATGATGTAAACACTACAACAATGGCGACGGAAATGTTGACGGTCATGATGTTGGCAATTCTGATAAGCAATTAATCACATATTTTTTATACCTTGTCTTCTTAATGTAATTTTTTTCACGACATCAAATTTGCTGTTTGTTAATTGGCAAATCTTCTTATAAGTTTAACTACGCATACTTATTGCATCTACTTTAATTACTAGGAAAAGGTACCGGCCGGCCTGATGGACATATGGGAGAAATATAACAATAACGTCACAGCATTTGCCATGTATGAGCCGTTTACGGACAAGTTAAACGGACTAGTTACTGACGAGAACCAGTAAGTATCCCAAAATAGTCTTACATCAAAACATCTATCATCCTATCACCATCTAAAGCATTGCTTGTTTACTGTTAAGGCTGACCTTTGCTGTTGGGCATGGTTCCACTCCTGCGTCCGTCTTAGCTTTAGAATATTCCAATTCGGAACAAAATAATTGAGAGGTCAACGATATATGGAGTGTGATTCCACTGTGTGGTTGTTTACGTCAGGCTCTGTTTTGGTGACGTAGATAAATCATCATGTTCTCATAATAATACATGTGTAAGGGGGATCATCTTTTATTTCTTATCTTTACCATCTGAAAAATTATTTCTTGTTTGAAGAGAGAGAAATATTTGAATACAGGTGTGTAATTACAATTGGAAAATTTCGATTTAATTCGCTTTAAAATGTGAAAATGTTTTTCAGAATTATGGCAAACAGTGGAATGATTTATTTTTTATTCACATCAAGTTGATGCACTTTATCAATTATCAAACAGGATGGATTAACTGTTAAGAATTGTTGTTTTTTTTGTTGTAACAATTCAATATCTTTTTTTCTATATCCGTGTCCTCAAGTAGACACGATTCATGTCTTCCGGTAGGGAGCTGTTATTATTAAGAAAAGTAACAGAGGCTCTTAAATCCTAATGACGTCATATACGACAGGATATGATGTACGTAATAACACCATTGTACCGAAACACCTCATAACAATAATTGTAAATTAAAAAATTACATAGCAACAACTCGTAATTAGTTACAAAAAAATCAACATACGCTTGTCTCCCTTGCTTTAAATGCAGCATCTTAATCATTTTTTACAGAAAAAGCGAAATAAGGGAAACTGCGACCACGAACGTGCAGTTCTTACTTAGAAAAATAAAGGAATTGGCGGATTTTATGGAAAATGTAAGAGTGACTTCTATCTATTTTATTATTAATTGCCGACAATGATTGCCGATTTATGATATGACAAATTGTTTTATTAAGGGTACAATACAATTAAAATATACAATGAGCAATGACGAGAAATGAAAAGGAAATATCTTGATAATGATGGTGTTGGTAGTGATTATGTTAACGCTAATGATGATGAAAATCATGTGAGTTGGCTACAAGAACACGAGAAAGAAAACGACTTATGTAAAGTAGCCACATTCTAAACAATACTTTTTTCTTCGTATATTTTAGACATACAAACCAAACACTCGAGCTACGTTCGGTGTTGGAGGTTTACCTAGGGGAGAAGAATACTACCAGGCATGTCTGAAATGGCAACTCTCGGTAGATCTCACCGCCGACGAGATTCACGAAGCAGGAATCAGAGAGGTCAATCGAGTGTATAAAGAATTACAGAAGGTAAGACTGTCCGATGATTACTTAGACTGATAGGTATTGCGTGCACACGTAATATACGTCCGCATGTACAAGCTATCGCATAGCCACGTAATATATAGCGTCTGCATGTACAAGCTACCGTGTGCCCACGTAATATATAGCGTCTGCATGTACAAGCTACCGTGTGCCCACGTAATATATAGCGTCCGCATGTACAAGCTACCGTGTGCCCACTTAATATATAGCGTCCGCATTTACAAGCTACCGCATGGCCACGTAATATATAGCGTCCGCATGTACAAGCTACCGCGTTGCCACGTAATATATAGCGTCCGCATGTACAAGCTACCGCGTTGCCACGTAATATATAGCGTCCGCATGTACAAGCTACCGCATGGCCACGTAATATATAGCGTCCGCATTTACAAGCTACCGCATGGCCACGTAATATATAGCGTCCGCATTTACAAGCTACCGCGTGCCCACGTAATATATAGTGTCTGCATTTACAAGCTACCGCGTGGCCACGTAATATATAGCGTCCGCATGTACAAGCTACCGCGTGCCCACGTAATATATAGCGTCCGCATGTACAAGCTACCGCGTGGCCACGTAATATATAGCGTCCGCGTGTACAAGCTACCGCGTGGCCACGTAATATATAGCGTCCGCATTTACAAGCTACCGCATGGCCACGATATATATATCGTCCGCATGTACAAGCTACCGCATAGCCACGTAATATATAGCGTCCGCATGTACAAGCTACCGCGTGGCCACGTAATATATAGTGTCCGCATGCTACAAGCTACCGCGTGGCCACGTAATATATAGCGTCCGCATGTACAAGCTACCGCGTGGCCACGTAATATATAGCGTCCGCATGTACAAGCTACCGCATGGCCACGTAATATATAGCGTCCGCATGTACAAGCTACCGCGTGGCCACGTAATATATAGCGTCCGCATGTACAAGCTACCGCATAGCCACGTAATATATAGCGTCCGCATGTACAAGCTACCGCGTGGCCACGTAATATATAGCGTCCGCATGTACAAGCTACCGCATAGCCACGTAATATATAGCGTCCGCATGTACAAGCTACCGCATAGCCACGTAATATATAGCGTCCGCATTTACAAGCTACCGCGTGCCCGCGTAATATATAGCGTCCGCGTGTACAAGCTACCGCGTGGCCACGTAATATATAGCGTCCGCATGTACAAGCAATCGCGTGAGCACGTAATATCATATATTCTCTCACTTTTACTCGACTATTCGAAGCATAGGGAAAAACTTGTAGTCCTCAGGGGTCGGCGTCACTCATTGGTTTAGTTTTTGCGTGCAAGTTGATTTCTTCAAAAACACTGAAGGGAATGGGTTTAAACTTCACTCACTTATTTACATAGATAAATAAATAAATAATTAGATTGAATAAAAAAATGATTAATCAACGTCTTTCAAATTTCAGATCGTTGAAAGAGCCAATTTTCAGGGTACAGTAGAAGAGTATAACAACCATCTGAGGAAAAACGACAGTTTATTTATTGCTGACGGTGTAAGTTTTAAAGAAATTTCTTGTTCCATTTTGATATGTCCTGCCACCCTTTCACCCCCACCCTTCCACCCTCCCTTACCAAAAAGCACATAGGAAACTTTACAAAGAATGTTACACCAAGGACACCACGTTCTTTCGGAACATACTAAAATACACTTCAAAAGATCTTGTATTTTACCGTAGATTAAAGAATTTTGTCTATTAACGTAATTAAATAATTCACAATCAGGCACTGTTTACCATCGGCCGTAAAAAAGACAATTTGATAGATCCATCGGACCGATGACTTACATGCATCGGGAATGATCCTCCTCCTAGCCGCCCATATTTCGTCACCCAAACTATTGTTTGCTCGAAGAATTCCTTCCAGATTAAGTAAAAGTGGTGAATACATCAGATAGCGAATGTGAAAAATTGTTATTTTAAAGAGGATATAATCGGCCTTTTTTATGGATTTAAGTCAATAGGGTGTTGCAGAAATCATGATCATAAAATAGAAAATATCGTTTTTCTCCGCCGATGTTTACATTTTCATTCACTATCATATATAAATCGTTGTGGAGAGGTGAATCAGACGTCTTTAAGTGCATTTCGGTGGGCGAAAAGGCAAGATTTTAGCATTTATTATCCAAGCGCCTTGTCGGTATTTAGTGTAGTGCTCCAACACTCTTTTTAGGATCTGGCACCGTTATATATGAGTGAAATATTTAGTTTCTCTCACAATGAATTACATAATTTACGATCAATCGCTCATAAATATTTTGTTCTGAAAAGTATACCTCATACAAATCATTTAAAGAATTCTTTTTCTTATTTCAGTATTGACGTTTGGAATAAAGCACTTATTACTATCAAACAATGTTCGACTTTACAATCTTTCAAAAACAACTGTAAAATTTATTTTATAAGTTTACAGTTAGATACATGATAAAAATTGATCACTTTATATTTTAATTGTTGTAGATCTAATTGTTGATATTATCATTTTCTCTCTCTCTCTCTCTCTTTTAATCATTACGAGTTTATCTATAATTACCATGATTAATCATGTCAGTCGGATGAATGATAAAAAATTATCCAACCTTTTCATTATTTTTTATATATACCAAAAGATTTTAAATATTTGTATAAATCTACATTTTTTTCTTTGTTATTGTTAAATCAGAAGGCCATAGTGAAAATAAGTGTACTTGTTACTGTGGACTTTGTATGTTACCTATTATGAATAAAGATTTTATTATTATTATTATTGTTATTATTATTATTATTATTATTATTAGTTTTATAACAAACAGGTTTTATTTATCAACAGGATGAGGCCATTCAGAAGTTTCAAGAATTGTATGATCAGCGGATTAAACCAAAACTTGATAGAATGTTTAAAGATATACCTGATGTTCCATTAGTGTAAGTTAAAATTATTTGATTTTATCTTTATAATCACGCAGTCAACGGCATAGAGTCTGGTTAGACTGCATGATTTTGCTGGCAAGTCTGTAATCAGAGAATAAAATTCTATAAAATTTGACAGCTGTGGCGTTCCATAACATTAGACAGCCTAGGCGTTCCATAACATTAGACAGCTGTGGCGTTCGATAATATTAGATTATCTGTGGCGTTCCATAACATTAGTTCATCAACATTAGACAGCTGCGGCGCTTCATAACATCAGAGATCTATGGCGTTCCATAACGTAAGGCAGCTGTGGCGTTCTATAGATTGATAAGTTACATGTAACAAACTTAAAATGTATTTTTGAACTTGCAAAGTGATAGTTCTTTAGCAGCTCATTCACATTAGATGCAATATTGTGTAATGCTCTATCTGAACCCTCCCGCGCAAAATGGAATTAAAAATACTGCTGTTTCTTAACTAAGTTTTGACTTTTTTTGAAGTTCTTTTGTATATAAAAAAGTTCAGGTCAGATAAGGGTCCAAACAATTGCTTATTCCAGTACCTAAACTTACACTAATTAAAGAAATACTCTAAAAATTTTGCGCTAAAATAAATACTGGAGAATGTAATAAACAAGTAAAGAAAACAACCTTTCTTTTGGAATAATTTCAGCATAAAGCCGATGACATACGATGGACCAAATGGTATTTACAAGAATGGCGCACCAGATGGTTCCAGGCCGGGAGTTTTCTATGCAAATGTTATGTCGAAAGTGTAAGTATATCCGGATAACACTTTGTTGGTAACTTGGAGCAGGGTCCTTCAAATAGAATGAATGGCATTGCCTCGAGATAATCTAAAATAGCTTCGGTTCCTTCTAATTGACCACAATAACAGGATGAAGATTTTTTTTAATAAACAAGTTAACAACTCCCATCCCATCCCCACAAAATAACCCAAAAACAACAAAAACGACAACCCCCCCCCAAAACAACAAAACATCAACAACTAACAAAAAGAACAACAACTGTTTACGAAGGCGTTATATTTTTGATCGATTCCAATATCTATATATTTCTTATAAATAACAAATCAAAACTTCTGAAGCTGTTGTTGGGTAACATTTCTAAATGTAATTATGCATGTAATTATTTCATGAAACATCTAAGTTAAATCTAACAAAATTAATATCATCTGTATAACAACATCGTTTCCAGGCCCACATTTGACATGGCAGCCCTGATGTTACACGAGACGGACCCGGGACACCATCTGCAGGACTCGTATGCTCTCACTGCTGAAGGTATTCCAATGTTTAGGAAAGCCACGGATTTCTCAAAGTACTTCGCAGTGCCTCTTCATTTTCCTTTCTATACGGCATATTCGGAGGTAAATATTACTTTGGTTTTTAAAGGCCCATTATTGTCAATCAAACGTTTGACCCTTTATCAAGAAGAAAAACTCTTCTCAGGCATAATTTGCCTTTAAAATATTTTTATTTTTATCTGCGCACAGCACACCGTTTACAGACGTTCAGTCTTTACGGTGGTTCTACTAAGGTGCCCGTATGTGCCTGAAATAATACACTAAGGGGTCTTCCTCCACCAGTAAAGCTGGAAAGTCGTCGCGTGATCTATACTGTGTTATTGTGATGGTAAAACCAATCCTAACTTAAGCAAGTATTTAAGTTTATGGATAGAGCTAACAACTTGACTAAGTACTTTTAGTATGCAATGTCAATGCTCCATGGTCAGTTCAAAGACTGTGATTATTATTTACACATTACTTTAGACAATATGTTTAGACCATACACTATGTCTTGTCTATGCTCTTATGTTCAGTCCATGACCTTTATTCAGTTCGTCTAAGCTGCCTTGTCCTAACATTGACCTAGTCCGTTCTTTTGCAGAATACTAAATGTGATTATTCATAGCAAAAGGCAGTGTTCCTTCGGTTCAGTGTCACTATAATTATATTTTTTCTATGCTAACTCGATCATTTTGAAACAGCTTTTATGTTCTATTCTGTTAAAAGGGTTGGGGATTGTACTCTGAAGATCTAGGGGAAGAACTGGATATTTTTGAAAACGACCTGGAAAGGTAAGTTGATAGCTTATAGGAAGTTATAGAAGTACATGTAATTTTATGATTATGAGCAGTGCATGGTTATTATATCGTATTGAAAACCATTGCCATGCCGCCACTTATTCAAATTGATACTGTAAAGGACATACAACTTCTACATGTATCTTATTCTTAATATTGTTTTATTTTTTCATTTTATTTTTGCTCACAATAAAGAATTTCATCAAACTCCATTTATTTGTTATTCCTTTTTTTTAGTTTAAATGTATAATGCAAAGTCTTTTTTTCATGCAGTTTTCACGGTGTTTGTAACTTTTGCTTAACCCTTTAAACAGAAATGATCAATAAAAATATAATCTTTTGAAAAAATATATTTCAGGTTTGGCAAATTTGGTTTGGAAATATTCCGTGCTGCACGCCTGGTGGTGGATACTGGAATACATGCAAAAGGGTATCTATTTTATCTTAAATATTTCTTATTCATTATCATAATAATACTAGTATTGAGGTTTGTCCTTTATACAGTTATTTTACGGTGGCGCAGAGGTTATTAGAACGTGTTAGCTATGTTTCGTACGATATAGCTAACACGTTTACCATGGCTATAAAAATTACAGTATTACATTCGTTCCTACGTTTAGCTTACTCTTTTTGCACATGCTATTGAAAATCTGGAAACAAAGTGATCCCTCCGAAGCATTAATCACAACAAAATTACAAGAGAATTGCAGGCTCGGTTTGATTGAGTCTGTATATGAGGGACAATGAATACGTGCAACATCCCTCACGCCTGAGCAGTACTCAATTCTCAACACTCAATAGTGCATGAATACTTCAATCGACTTGAAATATTTATAAAAAAAACTTACATGTTTAAACGACAGAAAAGTAACGTGTAACGAGACAGCTATCTAAGTTTGTACGACTTGCTGTAATATTGCGTGTCACTTCTGCGCCACCATACATGTTTCCTCTCATTATTGTTTCCGGCTTGCATGGTTGCGGGATACATCAACTTATGTATAAAATGGTAAGTTTTACTTATTCAATGTAAGTTCTTTTATCACACGCAAACACCCGCGCGCGCGCACGCACACACACACACATATTTATGATGGCATTTGGAACGAAAGCTTCAAAATTCAGAAAAAGTCAATTTCATAATAATGCACATTAACTCTTATGTGAATATTTAAATTTAAGAATGATTTTATATCTGTCATTTATTTCAGTGTAGGGCGACATTATTAATTTTTTTTACTTTTTCTATTGAATAATTTATTTTTCAGATGGTCACGTGATAAAGCTATTGAGTACATGAGAAATTACACGGCATATACACCTGAATTTATTGCACGAGAAATTGATCGTTATTCCACGTGGCCGGCGCAAGCTACTTCGTACATGATCGGAAAGCTGAAGATTCGGGAGTTACGGGATATGGCGGCCGGAAGTCTATGTAAGAATAGATTTTTTGGTTGTGAAAGCAATTTTACTTTTCTTACAAATCAAAATAAAAGATCATTCCTACAATTAAGCCAAATTTTCAAACCATTGAAGCTATTGTTAAATTTGTAAAGAAGTGAAATCGATAACATAATCATCCTTTTTATAGTTGACTTTTAATCGTCTGCTAATTTTATTAGTCGCGTAAAAGTTTTTGGAATGGTATTCTAAATAAAATTAATTATTTCAGGTAAATACTTCGATATCAAGCAATTCCACAGCATTTTACTGAGCAATGGTGCTATGCCCCTAAGCGTTGTAGAAGACCTCGTGAACGAATGGATTAAACACGTCAGAGGGCGACAAAATGACGTCGACCAGGGATGTTTGAATCAAATTGTCGATGAATTCTGGGAATGGAGAATGAAGAATAATCCAGAGTTTGCTAGTAATATTGGAGACCATAGATACACGGACAAAGTGGAGGACTATAGCCTAGAAGCTTTTGAAATGAGAAAGGTAATTAAAAAAAAACCCTTCCCCAATTCCTCCCCATACGAATGTTGTATTTTCCATTGTTAATGCACCCGCAGTAGCACAAAATAAAATCAGTTATGACCGACCAAAGATATGTCGTCTTTAATAACATTGTTCTAAGAAGACATTTAAATAGGTAAATAATCTTTGTCAGTCACTCGATACTTCCGGTTTGAATCCCGTTAGTGACGTTTTAACGTTGGTTCATATTTTTTGGTGCGGTAGGTGGGTGCAGAAATATCCGATCGTGCCTGAAATAATGTGCGGATTGAACTTCACACTGTATGACTTTAAACTGTACACAAATCACTACACTGCCACGAAAAGGGAAAGCATCATTTTGCTTTTTGATTTGATATAACTGAAGTTAATTTCCAGTTTTCTTTTTATTTGAACTCAACTATTTGACAGTTCACGTTCCATAAGTAAGGCAAATACCACACTTGTTGAAAAAAAAATCCAAAAACAAACACAACAACATCGGAATCTGCTATCAAATGTCAACGATCAGAATGGAAACGGTTTGCTCATTGTTTTTATATTCTGTCTTTATCTACATTATTTAAAATATATATAAATGTATTTTTCCTTCAATAAGCTGTAGGTTTGAGTCCCGCCAGTAACTGTAAAGTCTCTTATGTGAGGAAGCTACCCAGCTAGCTTACGGGAGGTCGGTACTTCTACCCAGGTGCTCGCTCGTGCACAAAGGGGCACTTGACATATTCCTCTATAGTGAAGCTGGTCAGACAGCTTATGATTCTTACATTGTCGGTGTAACATAGAAGCCAACATTTTATTTCAGGAAGAATTGTTTAGAATTTGGTTATCATTTCAGAACGACATGGATATGTTCCTGAAACGTCTAGGTTACGTGAAGAGAGACCAGCTGGCGTCAAGTGACGCCGTGACGTTTGATGTTTTGAAGGACACGATTCAAACATGGGTGGATGGATACAAATGGAGATTGTAATGATATTATTGTAGATTATGAAAGTAGTCACAGTAATTATATTAATCTTGCGCGATCAATTTGATACTTGATACCGGCTACAAAAGAGTTTTTAAGTGAAGATTTAGGTCACAGTTATTTAGGTCATATCTATGCGATAAGGGAAGTTTTCAGGACAGAAATACATGTTCTCCTTAAACTTTATAGATTTTGTCATAAAACAGGTATAGACTTTTAGCTTTTGAACATTAAACGATGAAAAAACGTATACTGAACACCCCCACACAAAACACAAAAAAACCCAAACTAATTCTGACCTTTATCTTTTCAGAAGTATTTGTAACATCATATCAACCAGTCCCGTATTAGGAGAGCAGTACGCATATAATAGAAAAATGGCCGATCAAGTCATTTTCCGTTGTCTGGACTTAAAAAACACTGTCCATTCTCATTCGTTGTCGTTTTATTAAACTCGTCCCAGAGATGTAATGAGGCATATCACAGATTCGGCAAATTTAGAACGCGTTTTTAGCTCGACTTTTTTTTTTATGAAAAAAAAAGTAGAGGTATTGTTATAGTCAGGTCGGCGTTGCCTTTGCCGTTGCCGTTGCCGTTGCCGTCCGAAAACTTGTACCTGGATCATAACTTTTTTATTTCTTGGTGTATTGTCTTCATACTTGGCCACAACAACCCTTGGGACAAGACCTTTCAGTAGACCACACTAACCTTGACCTTCATCCATAAATGACCTTGACCTTCAAGGTTAAATGTCCAATTTTTGCTTGTTCATGCTGTTATTGGCTGTAACTTTGTTATTTTTGAATGGATTGTCTTCAAACTTGAACATAATAATCTTCAAGGATATCCCTTAAAAATAACCAGTCAGACCTTGACCTTCACTCATAAATGACCTTGACTTTGAAGGTCAAATGATTGAAATTTTTATTTTTTGGCTATTATTGGCTGTAACTTTGTTATTTTTGAATGGATTGTCTTGAAACTTGAACATAATAATCTTCAAAGATAACTGTTAAAAATATACCGAAAGACCTTGACCTTCACTCATTAATGACATTGTCTTTGAAGGTCAAATTATTGAAATTTTCATTGTTTTTGCGGTAACTAACTGTAACTTTGCTATTATTGAAGGGATAAACTTCATATTATAACAGAACATTCTTAAGGACCAGACCTTGTTGTTTATCAAACCCAAATTTGGTTGGGCTCTTTAATGACCTTGACCTTGAAGGTTATATTACTGAATTTTCTCAGATTTGTGCATTTATTGGTGTGTGTGTATATATAATATATATATATATATATATATATATGTACATGCATATTATATATATATATATATATATATATATATATATATATATATATTATACATATATATATATATATATGTATATATATATATAATATATATATATGCGTGTATATATATATATATATATATATATATATATATATATATATATATATATATATATATATGCATGTATATATATATACACACACGTATATATACATATATATATATAAATTGCGTCATTTTTTCTATTTTTAGAAATTGCATCATTTTTTTTCTATTTTTAGAAATTGCGTCATTGTTTCTATTTTTAGAAATTGCGTCATTTTTTCTATTTTTAGAAATTGCGTCATTTTTTCTATTTTAAGAAATTGCGTCATTTTTTTCCTATTTTTAGAAATTGCGTCATTTTTCTATTTTTAGAAATTGCGTCATTGTTTTCTATTTTTTAGAAATTGCGTCATTTTTTCTATTTTTAGAAATTGCGTCATTGTTTTCTATTTTTAGAAATTGCGTCATTTTTTTCGTATTTTTAGAAATTGCGTCTATTTTTAGAAATTGCGTCCTTTTTTCTATTGTTAGAAATTGCGTCATTGTTTTCTATTTTTAGAAATTGCGTCATTGTTTTCCTATTTTTAGAAATTGCGTCTATTTTTAGAAATTGCGTCATTTTTTCTATTTTTAGAAATTGCATCATTTTTTTCTATTTTTTTAGAAATTGCGTCATTTTTTCTATTTTTAGAAATTGCGTCATTTTTTTTCCTGTTTTTAGAAATTGCGTCTATTTTTAGAAATTGCGTCATTTTTTTCTATTTTTAGAAATTGCATCATTTTTTTCTATTTTTAGAAATTGCGTCATTGTTGCTATTTTTAGAAATTGCGTCATTTTTTCTATTTTTAGAAATTGCTTCAAATTTTATATTTTTAGAAATTGCATCATTGTTGCTATTTTTAGAAATTGCGTCATTTTTTCTATTTTTAGAAATTGCGTCATTATTTCTAATTTTAGAAATTTGTTCATTTTTCTATTTTTAGAAATTGCGTACTGTTGCTATTTTTAGAAATTGCGTACTGTTGCTATTTTTTGAAATATGCTTAATGTTTCTATTCATATATATATACAAAATATATAAACAAAACTAATGTGACAAGACAGACCAACTAAATTTATAAAAAGGAAACGTTAATATATGTTCAAACCTTTCTATGTTTGCGTTTAGAAAAAGTAAAAAGTCGAGCGTTGCCCCCGCCCGGCGGTGGCTCTTGTTTTCTAATGTTAAAATACAAGTTTATATTAAATGCCATGTATGAAAATGCACCGTATACATATACATGTATATTTTTGTTTACATATAGTTATGGACCAATGAACCCGGTTAATATACTTGAAGGGATTCAAACAAATTACGGCTCTAGGGCAGGACAAGTTAGATTTGAAAAGGAAGACGACTTTAGAATGTTCGCTAAGAGAATACGCAGCTATGGTGTACAGGTAGGGTCAAAATAGCTTTAAGGTGAAGACATTTCACAATATAATTTATAAGTAAATAGAATAAAAATCAAAATAAAAACAACAAAAAAACTTACTAGTAATAAGTATACTAGTTACCTCCTCACGCAGTGTTCTGGCATCAATCAAGGGGATACCTCAAAGACTGGTCAGTCCATTATCGGTGTAATGTTAGATGAACTCGTGTAGATATGAGGTTTCCGTTATGCTACACTTTGAAGTGAACTACTTATCTTACTGCTACAATATTCGAAACAGTCGCAAAGTGTAACCAGACACACTTTCAAATAATGGGCAAAACAGTTCTGCAAATGCAAATTTATATACAAAAAAGTTCATCTCTCATACTCGTATGCTTTTGAATGAAAACAGTATTTGTATCATGTTGTAAAATCATATTTGTTTGATCTCACAGATTGGACAAATAATCACACGAATGGACAAAGCAGTAAACATGCGGACCACCAATCATAACGTTTCAATAGTAAGTTATTTTCTCTTATATAACCGTTTCAAAAGTGGAGCTGTTTTTACATAAACGTTTACATTTGTAAATTGTTTCCATATACATGTATTCATTGATAAGTTTGTAACATTTTATTTGGTTTATTTGATACACGACGTAAAGGTGTTCTCATGTCTTTATGTTTCATGCTTACAACCTTGTTTTTCTTTTGATTTTGAACAAAGTTTGATGCATTACTCATTGTTCAGATGAACACTTTAAAGATTGCTGGCCACCGGCTTCATACGATCACTTACGTTATTTCATTGATGTATTGACAGGATGTTACTGTTCGGAGGAGACCGGTATTTTAAGTGTTGGTCTTATTTGTGAAACATTAACCTACTTAATGCATGGCCTTGCCCAGCTTTTGGGACTGTCCATCTTAAATCTAAGGGATTTCAGAAGTAAAACACAAAATATGCCACCAACAGTATAGAGTCTAGTCCGACAGTAGGGATGCGCAACCGGTTCCTGCAGGATCAGGATTAAGCTGCCATGTAAAGCCCAACCTGACTACACTGACAGCAAAAGCTATCCACCTCCGGTTCCGGCAGGTTCCGGATTAAGCTGCCACTGCCATGTAAAGCTCGTCTAAATGACTCACGTTCAACGTTCTTTATTTTAGGCAAAGGTGCCAGCACTGATGGAGAATATGCGAGCAATGTATGTTAATAATGAGACAGCTTTCCCGATGTACGAACCGTTTAAGGACAAGATGGATGACCTGGTTTCAAATGCTACAACGTACGTGCTTTAATGTGTTTTATGTGTTTTATTTTTTATTTTATTTATTTATTTAACGTAAATTATTCAAGGTTAAATATAGTTAACTATTTTTTTAGAATGGTAAATTTTTATAGGACAAAATAATCAAATCATGAATGATGTAGGAGTTGTTAAATGACACAAGTTTAAGAAGTAAGGAAAAAAATAAAGGTTGAACGATTATGTTTATGTTTAGGGTTTTAAAATATGTTCTGCCCAATAGAACTGCAATATTTGAAATGAATCATTACTCATTTATTTGGCAATATACTAAATTTATTCAGTCTAATAAATCAACTGTTTTATAAAAATAATTTTAAACACTGAATTGTGCGCCGTTCTTGACCAGTTTAATTTTGTAAATTCTGACTAATAAACACTTACTTATACGTAGGGAATTGCTATATTCATAGTGAATATGCCATTTACTTCTCTTTTTACCTTAACCAATACAAATTAAATTTTACCTTTCTTAACCACTTTCCTCTTAGGCTTAATACAGTCATGTAGCGGGATTTCGATGTACTAAATCGTTGATGTGTACTAAATTATTACAATATACGAGTAATAAAACAAACAATGCTACAAAACATTTGCTACCTATTGTAATTTTGATCTTTTTTTTTCAGGAAAACTACTATTCGAGATGTTGCTGTAACCAATATCAAGTTTCTTCTAGAGCAAGTAAAGCAACTTGCAGCGTTTATAAAAAATGTAAGTGTTATTGAAGTGCCCATATTTTGTTCAAGTTGAATCTGTTTTCACTCCTGAAAAAGAAATTTCAATGAGACATGAATTAAACATCAGCGTGTAGTTAGAAACAATATGACATTGACAACTTGTACAGAAGTTAGTTGATTTGCGTTTTAATTTTTTAATAAACTTGCAATATTTAGTGGTTTTTTGTGTGTTTTTTTTTTACAACTAGCCATTGAACCAACAAATTGTATGTGTGTGACAGTTTTAGGCGGAAATACACGGAACAGAGACTCATTGAAAGTAAAGACTTGCTAAAGTGACAATAAAAATGTTTTATAAAACACAAAATCCCACAATACATTTCTAAAATGATGTAAAAACGTAAAAATGCTGCGACGGATTAAATTTCGCTATTTTTGCGAATTGAATGTTTTTGCAAAAATGAAATTTTCGTTAATATCTACCTTATAAATTAAACAGAACTGAAAAAAGAAATATGCGGACTTTTAATCTTGCCGATTTAATCCGATATAATGATTTCTCGAAATTTTGGCCTCATGAAAAGATCTGATTTTACACATATACAGTACTTGTGTAATAGAGTAATTTTACCAAGAACATTAAAAATCAAAAAAACATACTTTTGATTAATTTTTTCTGTTATTATTCAGACTTACATTCCAAATACGCGGTCATCATTCGGAGTGGGCGGTCTTCCACAGGGGGCGGAGTATTACAAGGCGTGTTTAAAATGGCAACTTTCCATAGACCTATCAACCGATGAGATACACAGAATGGGAATAAGAGAAGTTCAAAGAGTTCATTCTGAAATTCAAAAGGTAAGCTTTATGATGCCACAAAACAGTTTAAACTTTCAAAAAAGATTTTTCGTAAATGATATCACAAGATTGGCTCAAATATTGATTGATATCTTACGTGGTAAGTATGAAAATGACTTATTCGGCCCACGTCAGCGTAGCAGATCCAGATTATTCGGTACCATTCGGCACAACAGTGTCGTCTGATCATGATCTGCGCTGTTCGCTGTTCAATCAGGCCTTTTTACAATACAATTTTTCGATAGTAACGGATGTTGCATTTTGCACATGCGCATTCTGCGTAAAACGTCGTTTAGAATTTCCCTTAAATATAAAAAATTTTGTCTGATTGACAGGTGAACAAGTTCATTGAACATATTTTTGCCACCTTATTAATAGTCTGTTACTTAGTTAGGGTTTTTTGTACATGTTTACATATTTTAGCTGGATCATATTAATTCAACTAACTCCGGTCATTTTATTTGTACGCATGTCAATATATATTTATTGTTTAAACATTTTCTCAAACGTGGCGTGAATCTGAAATCTTGCGGTTTAAACTGTAAGCCTAAATTATATAATGAACGAGCAATGACAGCTTTTCATTGGTTAATATTTTAATGTTTTCATTATATTGAATCATGATGAACTTCACATGCTTTATATATACAAATATTCCTTTTTATAACTAGATAATGAAGAGGGCAAACTTCAAAGGAACAGTGAAAGAGTACAACGAACATCTACGTAAAAACGATAGTTTATTTATCACGGATGGTGTAAGTTTATCTTATACATGTAGTAAGACTGAATAGGATTTACATTTTGGATTTGGAACTAAACTGGCTGTAAACATATCTCACATGATGAAATCCAAAGTCTTTGGCGGGATTCGAAACCGTGGCAGTTGCGTGACAAAAAATAAGCCTAAATCAGCGTGCCTAAGATACCCCTACTGGCCCTAGTAAAAGATACCCCTACTGGCCCAAGTAAAGCATATCTTCTGTCAATGATCGATAAAAAAATATATGTAAGTTAAGTTATAAGTTTTGTGTAACTAATTATATAAAATTATAGTAAGATTGTAAGTGGACGCATAGTAATCTTATAATCATAAAGGAAAGTTTCTGACAAGACGACAGTCAAACTTGATTATTATGTGTCTATATAGCAATTCCTGTTTTGGTCAACTTATTTTGTTTTCTAAATTTTCAATAAGAATTCTTATACTGAAAGATCTAGGAATACTGAACAGTATTCAAAGTCAAAAATGAAATCAGTTTCCATTTTGCTGATTTTTATTTATAATATATGTACATTTTAATTTCATATCCAGGATGTAGCTTTGCAGATGTTCAAAGATTACTACAATAAAACTATTGTGCCAAAGTTGGATACAATGTTCGAAAATATACCAGATTTTCCTTTAAAGTAAGTTCAAGTTTGATGCATAGTTATTATGTTTGTCTGTATTGTTACCGAAAACAGTTGTTTAATGTAGCATATATTTCGTATATAAAGCTTGTTTTTTTATAGAACAATCATTAAATACGGTAGCATAGCGGGCCTTGCTGGAAGTTTTTGATTTTATAATGGTCGCGAGTAAACTTTCAGTTTTTTTTTATCATGCGGCCATTAGTTTTATTTTAATATCCGAAATGTTCCCTCTATGAGTCCTTATTGAAGTGAAATCCCATGAACAGTTCTAATAGAACTATAAATTCTTGCACATACATGTATATATAGTTAAACCTAGGCCTTTTGAAAAATAGCGATGATGCTTTTTGAGCACACGGTTGCAAAATTTGCTTAATGGAGTCCAAGATCGAAAGGCATTTAAACATAAAACCGCACTCTTACAAAGATTATCTTGGTCACTTAAAACGAAGAATATACTAAAGACAATTAAGAAACTTACCCAGAATGGAAGAAAAATAGGTTTTTTTTGTGAGAATTTAGCCTGGTTTGAGTTGCTTAAATGCGTTTTATTTTTGAGTTATTTTGCACTATACAAAAGATTTTTCTGGAACACGGAGTGAGATAATCACCTTGCTTGCAAGTTATTTTTTTCTAGGCCTACATCAAAGGGTAGACAGGTCAAAATTTGATTTTAAAAAATCCCGTCCAGTCATCTCAAAAAACTGCAGTGGAGTCCCTTTAAGAATTTACTTGCCACTTAATTTATGTTCCCTTGAAAACTTTACATATCGAGGGATGTCATGGTTATGATTGCATATCACTGCAAAAACTTTTTTTTCAATCACTGAATTATTTGAATTGTCTGATTAAACTAGCAGTGATTTTCTATAAATGCTCTGAGAAAACTTGTGCTGTCATTCACTTTCTTTTAAGCAGTTGGCTTTCTTTTTATTTCGAGGTTAGCATATCGCCAATTATATTTGGCATATGTTTTTGGAACGCTTTTCCGTAGGACTGGGCTATCTCATGATGCGAGGAATGGAAAATAGAGCATTGAAAATTACAATTTTGCAGTAACATCTTTTTCATAAATTTCTTTTCAGGATTGAAAAGATGACATACAATGGTCCAAATGGTATTTATAAAAATGGAGCCCCGGATGGATCACGGCCGGGCATTTTCCTAGCAAATGTTAATTCAAAAGTGTAAGTTATACAAGATCAGAGCCGTCTAATGCCTATATCCACCTGACGCTTATAACGTTAGGTCGTCTGTAACCGAGTGGTTCAAGTCGTTGACTTCAAATCATTTGCTCCATACCGCTGTGGGTTCGAATTCGAATCCCATCAAAGATTTTGTATGTAGTCATGTTAGATGGCAATACGTTGGTGGTTCTACACAGGTGCCAGTGTGTGCATCGTGCCTGAAATAATAGATTGGGGGCATACGAGGTTTTCGTCTACCAGTAAAGCTTGAAAGTTGCCATAATACCTGTACTGTTCTGGTACGACGTAAACACCACCGACACCCCGAAAAGATTATTATGTTACTTTCGTTATTTATTGGCAAATTGTCAGTATTTTTACGACCATGAATGGTTTAAAAAGACTAAATGAATGATTAAAATCATATTATCAAAAATCATATTATGTTTATGTATTCCCTTTCAAAAAAGACGAATGACTGACTGAAAAAAGCTGCCCTTTTAAACACATGCGCTAGCTATACACACAAATAGCATTTAAGTATTCAGGAATTAAATGCTATTGTTTACTTATGATGTATCCGAAGTGTTTATTTACATTCGTGTGATTTTTTACGATAAAAACGATTGGAGAGCTAAATGATAAAGAACATTACAAAATCAAATGATAAAAATGGCGATTACTGTATCTTAAATCGTTGTATATTTGCAGACCGAAATTCGACATGGCCGCCTTATTGCTACACGAAACTGATCCTGGTCACCATTTACAGGATTCTTATGCATTAACTGCCCAGGGAATACCATTGTTCAGAAAAGTCACAGATTTCTCAAAATATTTCGGAGTTCCCCTGCATTTTCCTTTCTATACTGCATATTCCGAGGTACGATCTTTAAACAATATAAATAGTATATTTATAAATAAACAATTGACGGTGTTAGTGTAAATTTTTAGAGTTATATATTTTTTTTTCGCCCGGAAAAGACACAATTTAATCAATATTTCTTGGCGTTAACATTAATTTTGTATTTTGTAAATAGAAACAGACATGTGATTTCAAATTTCCAGAAAGCTGTTAGTCTTAGTGCAAGGTGGATACTTGTATTTAATATTTTTGCCAGTTTAAGGTATTTGGACACAATATTAGCGTTTTGCTTCGTTTCAATTGCTACCGACAGGTAATATGTCCTCTTATTTCAGAGTTTAAGGCTGAAACACAGAAAATCTTGAAAAGGGGACATGGTTAAATGTATAGACAACATTTCTCACGCCCCTAGCACCGACTTGAGCGGTTTTTAATCCCCAACACTTAAAGTTTTGGAATCGATCATCCCGAAGGATCTGGACAATATAACAACATTAAAGAGACTCCACTGAGGTCCAAAAGCCTAAACACATGAAATTTTAATTTCTTGCATAAATGAGCTGGGACCCTTAAAACAGAGATAAAAAGACAATTAAGAAAATATTCAGCAATGACTTTGTAAATTGTATTTTTTTGCTTTTCCTAGCCCGATTTGAGTGAAAACGCTCTTAATTTTGGGTCATTTATCACAATTAGAATAATTATTCTGGAAAAAAACGAAGTGGGCAAATGATGAAATTTTGCACAACCGCTTATTGGGCTTGAATGGAACAGTAACCTCGAAAAAACACTATTTTCAATCCTATCGTGTAAAAAATCCCTCAGTGGAGTTTCTCTAAGATACAAAAGACATTTTTACGGCTGCTGTGATTATACAACTTTGATCATGGAAAAGGGGAAATCTTACAGAAGCAATGGAATCAAAGCAAATAGTTGACAACTGCAGTCTCGGTTTATTAAGTTATGTGCACAGTGTGCCTGGATATTTGAAATTTTCCATTGAATTTTGTCCTCTCTACTTCTTAAAGCACAGCATTTCAATTCCATGTTTTTATTCATCATTTGTAATTGCATACAAGTAACTAAAATGTTGTTGATGTTTTCAGGGTTGGGGACTTTACTCAGAAGATTTAGGCGAGGATATGGAGATATATAAAGACGATATGGATAAGTGTGTATATTTAAATCTTTTATCTGAACAAATTTTGATTATTATTTCCTATTGCATACGAATTATGTCATAAAAGATTATGTTCTTAAGCGTGCCTCCAATCAGTGAATTATTTTAGCATCTTTATATATATAATTTCTGTCGTTTGATCCAATGCAATCTCTACGCAGTGATCTCCCCTACAATCTGCCAAGGGAGGTAATCACTGTGAGGAGTTTGGATCCAATGATGACTGGTGACAAACGCTTATATTAATTAAATTTGAAGCAGAGTGACTTAGATTTAATTTACGTTACATTAAGAATGCACGCATCGGAAGTAAAACTTTTCATCCAATGTATAGTTTCTCCTCTTTTCACCTTCGTTCGGTACGTTTTATCATTTAACGTCTCCCCTTATCATGCTTGTATTTTCAACTTATTTTTTAAGGTTTGGTAAATATGGACTAGAAATATTCCGTGCCGCTCGGCTTGTTGTCGACACCGGTATCCATGCTAAAGAGTAAGTATTTGAAGTAATCCAAATTTTTATTGTAGCTTTAAAAAGGTCTTTAGAAATACTTCAAATCGTTGCGCCCTGTTACAATGTACTCTCCAAATAACATTTCAATGAATTTACAGAAAGCTGCTGAAGACCTCTATTCCGTGTGCTTGCCGGTACATGGTATAAGACCTTTATAAGCATTTTCCAATGTTTTTCTCACAATGATGGTTATTCGTTATCGATTCAATAAAATATAAAGTAAATAATCATTATTATACTTCTAAAATCATATATTTTAGCTGGCCACGTGAACGTGCCATACAGTACATGAAAACTTATACAGCATATACACCGGAATTTATTGAGCGGGAAATTGATCGTTATTCAACATGGCCGGCACAATCGACTACATATATGATTGGCAAGTTAAAGATCAGAGAACTCCGAGATAATGCAAAAGAACGTCTGTGTATGTATAAATAAGCCGCGTCACGACAAAACCAACATAATGGGTTTGCGACCAGCATGGATCCAGACCAGCCTGCGCAGTCTGATCAGGATCCATGCTGTTCGCTTACAAACCCCATTACAAGTAGAGAAACTGATAGCGAACAGCATGGATCCTGATCAGACTGCGCGGATGCGCAGGCTGGTCTGGATCCATGCTGGTTGCAAACGCATTACGTTGGTTTTGTTGTGACGCGGCTCAAATAAAGTAACTTAAACTTACATTGATAAGTATCCCCTTTTACAGGTACTCAGTTATGACTTCTCAGAAGCAAGACTTTTTTCAAAAACATGTTTTCTAAGGGCAGATACAATTTTCAGATGTATGCAAACAAATTGACATTTGAGATATGGCGAACTAAGTATTAGAAAGTATGTTGAAGCCAACACTTGCTTGCAACGTGGTTAAAACCTACATATTCCAAATCCAAAACATACTTTCACCATTAAAAACAAGAACAACAAAGCAGAACAACAATGCAATAACAACAACAACAACAAAAAAACACAAAGAAAACAACAACAACAAAGAAAACAAAAGCGTTTGTAGTTAAAGGATGTTGAGGGAATTCTTGTTATTTCATGAGACTTTGGATATGTTTAAGAAATAAAATCTCATTATTTTTTTTATTGTAGGTAACTTTGAAAAAGACGAATTAATTAAACCATTCCACAGTGTAATACTAAGCAACGGAGCTATGCCTCTAAGTGTTTTACAAGACGAAATAAAGAATTGGATAGAAATGGAAGCGGTGAAAAACGCGAGAGCGGGAACTTGCAAGGAGACCAGTGGTGCTGATAGCTTCAACAACGTGCACTCTGTCCTACTTTTTACATGCACTTTAATTGGTTTATTATGCAGAAATCATGTTTAATCATAGACAGAGGAATTGTTACCTCAAAAATCATTCGTTCAGCATTAAAGTTTCTGTTTGAAAGATCTGAATTTATATAAAATAATCTTAAAATTGTGTTGTTTTTTTTCAGTGTTAAAAGTCAATTACAGTTTAATAACTTTTTTTTACCTGTAGAGTAATCAAAATTGCTGACAACTTTTTAATGTTGTACATTCTTGTTATAAATATACGCTCATGTTTATAATTTTTAAAGGAACTCCACCGAGGGCCAAAAGCCAAAAAGCATAAAATATGACATTTAAGACAGATCAACTGGGTTACTTGTAAAAAGTCAAATGATAAGGAATACACTCACTAAATAATCAAATAAAAAATATTTTGTTTTTCTGAGATTCTGATAGCGATAAGAGTTAAATTCGTTTATAAGGTTTATTTTTTTTTATTTTTGGGTCTTTTTGCACAATAAATTTAATTATTCTAGACACAAAGGAATTAGCGAATGATCTGAAATTTATGCACATACGTGATTTGTCTAGACCTACACAAATTTTGAAAAAAAAATCAAATCCTATTAAGTAAAAACAACAACAACAACAAAACTAAAAACAAAAACACCTCAGTGGAGTCCCTTTAACAATTCATTTCACTAATTCTTACCTTTAGTTAGATCTATTTCTTCCAATATCTTAGTTACACTTATATACAAAAGATAGCATTTACATTTATACAGTTAGGGTAGTTTAAGACAATCATGTTTTACGTTGAAATTATGAAATAACTTGATATATGTCTATCATTATTCGTACCAAAGTTACGGTGTTCTGTTTTGGTCAGTTAAATGTCCTATGTTGATATGCAAGATGTTGATTAAGTCATTTGTGATGTGCCGTTCTTTTTAAAAGGAATTTCATGAAGTAGCGATATTTATTATTCTTGCGGAACAACTATAGTTTGATTTAACGTTTGACATAAATTTATTCCTCGCTAGTTTCAACTTTATTCCTTACAAACTTTAACTTAAATCCCCCCAAACTTCAACTTTAATCCTCGCGAGTTTCAACTTTAATCCTCACAAACTCCAACTTTAATCCTCTCGAGCTTCAACTTTAATCCTCACAAACTCCAACTTTAATCCTCGCGAGTTTCAACTTTAATCCTCACAAACTCCAACTTTAATCCTCGCGAGTTTCAACTTTAATCCTCACAAACTCCAACTTTAATCCTCGCGAGTTTCAACTTTAATCCTCACAAACTCCAACTTTAATCCTCTCGAGCTTCAACTTTAATCCTCACAAACTCCAACTTTAATCCTCGCGAGTTTCAACTTTAATCCTCACAAACTCCAACTTTAATCCTCACAAACTCCAACTTTAATCCTCGCGAGTTTCAACTTTAATCCTCACAAACTCCAACTTTAATCCTCGCGAGTTTTCACTTTAATCCTCACAAACTCCAACTTTAATCCTCGCGAGTTTCAACTTTAATCCTCACAAACTCCAACTTTAATCCTCGCGAGTTTCAACTTTTATCCTCACAAACTCCAATTTTAAACATTACTCTGATTAAAACCTTTGCGATGATTCATTCTAATTCTCGTATGTTGCTTTAGCAGAACTCCGGCTTTGATCTCCGGTAATGGAAAGAATTATAGTTTCCAAAAAGTCGATATAGACATGCGGCTATTATTAAATGTCCAAAACAGGGCACCGTACATCGAGCTCATATAATCTCAAAGAGAAAGTTTATGAAATGTAAAAGGCTTGGACAATATACACTTACTATGTAAAAAGTGTTTCAATAAGAGCTACTGCATTTCCATGCGCAGGAACTTAAACTTATGGATTTACTTAAAATCTTTTTCATTCCAAAAGTGTCAATAACTCCATATTAATGTAATTGATTAATAGAACTTGAGAATGAAACCAAATGAAATACATTATTTATAATCAATCAAAACGTAAAAGAGAGGTTTAATACTCGTGGTGTCTTTATTAACACTCATTAGAATAATATTATCATAAAACATAATTGTGTTTATAATATCTAAAGCATCATTTTTGTACAACTAACAGAAACTGGAAATGTGTAATGACAAATATTCAGAGTTATAAAGGTTTAGAATATGTATATTCTTTTCTTATTTCTCTTTGTCGTTTTTCCTCCAGTTAACAGCCATCGGAATAGTTCATTACTTTGTTATCAACAGCGACTTCACTGCGTGTTTTCGGCAAAAAAGCGCGTGATCACGCATTGATAAAATAACAATTCTATAAATTACCATACAGAATTACAGAAAGCCAAGACATTAATTAACAATGTACAGTTAAAAAATGAAGTTGTTTTAGTCCTTTTTAAGAAATTTAACAGGTAAAAATTTAAATATGAGTGCATCAATCTTGTACAATGTGACTGCACAAAGATCAACACTCTTATACAACAGATTTTGCTGTATTGGTTTGTTTTTTCGTTTCAATATTTCCATGACGCTTTGGTAAATAGCATCAGCAAGAAAAAAATAAGATAAATACATCCCTCCACACACGCGCACGTGCACGCGTACGCGTACGTGCACGCACACACACACACACACACACACACACACACACACACACACACACACAGATACAAAGAAAACAAATCCAACAAAACAGTTTAGACAAGAAGAAGAATATAAATAGGGGTAACAAAAAAACAAACAACAACAACTAATTAAAATAACGTTTTTCCCTCAAGTTTAACGACACCCCCCCCCCCCAAAAAAAAAAAAACAAACAAAAAACAGAACAAAAACAAAAGAACTTGTGAGTTAAAAGTAACAAAAACAGCAACAACAAAAAAACCCCTCAAAACAACAGTACCCTACATCTAAAAAATGGGAAGAAAAACTAAAAGAGAAAAAAAGAAATGAAACAAAAAACAAAAAAACACAGAAAAAAAACATCATTTATCATCATATTAAGAAAGCATTCGAGTTCAAGTGTACTGACAAACGCGTAAGAAATGAAAACCTAATAATTATACAAACCCTGTGTCCATGACCTAGTTATTTCATTTTTTTATTACAATTAAAATTGAAGTTATTAACTGACTTACATGTTTTAAAACTTTTATATCCGCCATTCCGTGAATAACATTATGCAAATGACGAACTGTCTTACATGTTCGTCATTTGCATAATGTAATTTACGGAATGGCGGATATACACGTTTTAAATAATTAGAAAACATTATAATGGAGAATAATATATTATCTTCAAAAATACTGAGAAAATATTAAAATATCAAAATCACATTTAAAGCAATAAGAAAACTGTCATTTTATAAAGTTTTTATTTAAGCGAATGCACTTTTTTAATGCGTTTATTTAAGGTTGCCACCGGAAAGCTCATATGGGCGACCGTACACTCAAGTCGGGCCATCCTAGAGCGTCCCGCCGAGATTTTTTCGTCGATTTTTATCCAGCTGTATTGGTGGAGGAAGACCACAGGTGCCCCTTCGGGCATTATTTCAGGCACGAGCGGGCACCCGGGTAGAAAACCACCGAACTTCCGTAAGCAAACTGGATGGCTTCCTCACATGAAAGATTTCGACCCGAGTGAGGATCGAACCTACAGCGGTGAGGGACCTGTGATCTCAAGTCAACGACCTTAACCACTGGGCCACGGAGGCACGGAGGCGAATGCACTCTGAAAGGACATCAACTTTATCTATATTTTTCGCGTAAACATTTTGTATCATATCCCAAAAGTCAAGAAAACCGAATACATTAATTCTTTTAAACAAGACAATCTTAAAAAAACGTTACATGAAAAAAAATGGCCTGATATTAGCTATATATGTCAATTGGTTAACGCGTGTATTTTAAATTATTCAATTTATATACAAACTTAACTTTATAATATCTTAAAATGTCAATAACTGAAAAGATAAATTAGTTAAAAAGAAGCATTTGCAATGTAGAGAATTGACACGAAAGTATCATATCTTGCATAAAAATACATAACCCATCACAAAACAGCAACAACAAACCCCCCCCCCCACAAAAAAATCTACCCCCCCCCCGAAAAAAAAAAAAAAAAAAAAAAAACCAATAAAAAAAAAAACCAAACAAAAACCCCAAAAACAGCAACAACAACAACAACAAAAAAAACAAAACAAAAAAAAAAAAACACCCCCCAAAACATGTTGTATGTTTTCCTTTTGCTTGCCTTGAAGATCACAAATATTGCTAATAATAAAATGCATGTAATTCTGCGGTTGTCGATCTTTCATGAAACTAAATCAATTTAGTCAATTTATAGTTACATTATGCTTCAATTTTCCATTCCATCTTTTTCATTTTAATCCCTTTTTTCGTCTGCCTTGGTGTAAAATAAATAAGTAAGCGAGAGAGAAGTCAGAAAGTATTGAAGGAAAACTTTAAAAAAAAATAATTTGTGCTCGTTTAAGTGGCAGCAGAAAAATTCCAAAAAAATGCCTTCAGATGAGCGAAAATGTTTAAATAAATAATTGCGCAAAATGTACTAAAATTTGAGGAAAAGTAGAATGGTTCAAGTTATATGATCGATTAATTGTTCATTATGCTTAACTATATTTCTACTGCGTTACTAACGCGGCAAGGGCATTTTTGCATATTTTGACATCTTTTGGTAATTAACGTGGGTTGTAAGTGCCATTGATAATGTGTAAATTGCTTCCGTTTGGTTACTATATACTATTATACATTTAATTACATTTTCAAAATTTTCATAGAAATAAGCATAAACCTGGAGCCGTGCTGCTTTAAAACTAAAATATCTTTCGAACTTTATTATCCTTAAATATGATCAAGTATAAATATCATTTGAACAATTATATATGCATGTATTTGCAATATAAAACAAATCTGATATTTGGTTTCGTATTTTTTTTTAATAAAATGGGAATAGAGGTTGAATTTGATTAAAATGTTTTTTTTTTGGATTAAGATATTTTTTAACACAATATTTCAGATGGTTAATTTATGTGAATATAAAACTTACCATAAATAAACGTACATTGGTACAATTTACGTAAAAGAATAAAAAATGTCGTCAAAATGAGAGGAAAAATAATAATAATAATAATAATAATAATAATAATAATAATAATAATAATAATAATAATAATAATAAACAATGAATAAAAAACAGCAAAACAAAAAAAAACAACAAAAGCAAAGAAACAACAAAATCCAAAAATGAAACGTAAAAAAAACGAACAAAAAAAGATCCCGAAAAACAATGGATTAAATAAAAAGAAAAGATAAAACAAAACAAAACAAAAAATAGTGACATAAAAGTATGCCATGTGTTTTGAAACTGTAATTCATTTATTTATTATATAACACAGATACTTCTTGTTCCTAAAACGTTTAGAGTTACTCCTTGAACTTTTAACGAAATGACTTTAATTTCTCAAAATATAATTGTGTCACTCAGTACGTTGTAAAATAACGCATTCGTTTCTGTAGAATTAATAAATGAGCCGCGTCACGACAAAACCAACATAATGGGTTTGCGACCAGCATGGATCCAGACCAGCCTGCTCATCCTCGCAGTCTGATCAGGATCCATGCTGTTCGCTATCAGTTTCTCTACTTGTTATAGGGTTTGTAAGCGAACAGCATGGATCCAAATCAGACTGCGCGGATGCGCAGGCTGGTCTGGACCCATGCTGGTCGCAAACGCATTATGTTGGTTTTGTCATGACGCAGCTCAAATATGCTAATAAGCTTAAAATGCTGACAAGGTTACTTTAAAAAGAATTATCAACATGAAAAATGGATTATATCTGTCACCTTGTCTTTTTACTGGAGCAAAACCCATAAATTGTGAACTTTCGAAGAAAGAAAAAAAAAGAGAGAGAAAGTTAGAAAGAAACAAAAGAAGAAAGGAAGGAAAAAGGAAAGAAAGAAAAAAAATAAATAAAGAAAGAAAAAAAAAAACAACAAAAAAACGTTTGGTATGATTTTATCAAGCAATATTTTTGAGGAAATTTTAAATTCAAGAAGAGAAAACACAAAACACTTTTTGTTTAAGTAAAAGAGTTTTTGTTGTTTTTTGGGTTTTTTACTCATCCCGACACCGGTATAGTAAATTTTGCGACTTTCCCCTTTTACGGGTGGGGGAAAAAGACCTCGGTGCCCTTTCGTGATTTTTTTCACCACGAACGAACCCCCTGGGGTAGAACCACCGACTTCCCCTTTAAGCCCCAGCGGGATTTTTTCCCTAGCAAAAAAGAATTCAAAGTCCCTGTCAAATTCGAACCCAAAGCGGTGAGGGTTTAAGTACGGTGAGGGTTTAAGTAAATATGTATTATATTTTTTGTATAAAAATAGTTTTAAGTTTCAAGTTTATAAGCCTTTGGCCAATACAAAGAAAATACATGAAGTATGGCAAAGATATACACTACAAAATAGTAATAGCAATACAAATCATGTAAACAAAGACGTTCATGAAACAGTTGTAACGAGTATTTGTGGGATCTGGTATGGGCTTCAACAAGTGTTTGTGGGATCTGGTATAGGCAAAGCCAGGTATTCGGTTGCTACGCCGTATTTAATTAAAAAAAAGTCTATTGTAATGACATCTTTGCTCTATCTTTGTTTCCCAATTGACTTCATCTTTAAGATTTTCTATAGAAACAAGTCATGTTGCACCCGATACTTTTCTGGCACATTCTTTTTGTATTTTATCTAAGAGATCAATTTCATATTAAAATACATGTCCACAAACGATGTCTGCATATTCAAGAATTGGTCTATAAACCGACGTATTATAACTTAATTTTTAAAGATTTACGGTCAAATAAAAAATATTGTCTCCATTATGTTAAACTGTTTCCATGCTTTATCAACTTACATATTCATTTCTGTCAGTGTCATTGACCATTGTTAGATAAAAATAAACGCCACATGTTTTGTTTTATGTTCAATTGACTTCTGTTATATTTTTGATTAAGCATTTTGAAGTGGGTTTGTGATTACTTCTTCGTTTTTCTTGAGATGAAAAAATTGATTCGGACCTTAGATGGATTAAAGACACCCAACAAGCCATTTTCTCTGCCGACGCAGCTAATTTTTTGATATCTAATTGTAATTGTTGAGGT